ATATATATATAAACTAAAAAAAAACCCAGATGCATTTGCACTTATGTTGGGATCTGCCAGCCATACAACTCCAGGGTGGTGCTCCCAGCCTTCAACAAAAGGCATCTTTCCAGAACTTTTTTCTTTCCTTCATCTCTCCTTAGACCACACAGTTCTGCTGTTTTCCCCTCTCCTTCTCACCTTAGCACCTAATGAGCAGGGGGTCCCTGAAAACAGAGGTGTCAAAGACCCTGATGCTGCCTATTGTCCTCTGTGTGCCGTGACCGCTATCTCTGCCTCCCAGTGCACCTTACCTGTTGGGAACCAATGCAACAAAAATTCATCTGCTAAACAAATTGAGGATGGCAAGCACTACAGGATTGGTGCTTGACATTAGCACTGAAGGTTTCAAAGGCCAGATTCCACCATGGGTTTGATGCTAGTCGTGTCCTCAGTGGGCTCTTACCTGTCCCTATGGCAGTGTCTTCATTGGCATTACGCAGCTGGGTTACAGCGAGTAACAAGCAAGTTTCCTTTGTTGTCTGCGCACAAAAAATGACAACTGAACTGCAGATATGCATCACTGCAAGGAAACTTCAGAGTAAGATGAAACAGAGAGGGACAGGACTGAGGTTAGAAAGTGCTGCAAGGAAAGGCAGGTCCTACGCCCTGGAGAAGTGCTATAATGTCATTGAACACTGGGGGGCAACCAAGCACCCAGACTTCGGTGAGAAAAGTACTTGATCCTTAGAACAGCAGCCCCATTCCCTCTCCTCCTTGGAGCAGACATAGGCTTTGACAATTACCCTTTCAAAAAGAGGTCACAGACTCTCTCCTTGGAAATAACAGGCAGGGCCTGCTTATCTCAGTGTACTGTGCAATCCAGACTGGAAAGCACTGAATTTTGTTTTCCCAAGCACTACTGCAAGTACTTACCTGGAGCAACACAAGGCAATACCCTCTGGTTTGATGTCTCTGCACTATGTGAAGTCATTATCTTTAATACACAGGTAAAATACTAATACACGGGAAGGTAAAAGTTCATTTCCAAGAAGAAACTTCAGGAGATACAACTGCTTAACACACCTCGCATACCTAAAGGAGCAATGCACGAAACTGAATACACTGTAGAAGGCAGCAGAATTACAAACTGCTTTTCACAGTTTAGTCTTGATCAAGTGTACCCAAACACTTACTGTTTAAATAAACAAAGAAGGAGCAGCTAGGGGATGAGAAATGAACTCTGGAAACTTAGTGGGAAAGGTTTTGGTTTATAGATAATTTTTTATAGCTTTATCATGTCAAAAATAATTTGAAGACATTTTACAGCAGATACTTCCACCCTTTTCCTCCATGAAGCAATCCTCCTATACTTGAGAAATATCAAATGTCGTCACTGCGTATCTCCTCCCACTTACACCACTCTCCCCATCTGCTGTCATGCTGCAGGAACTGGTACTGATTCGTGGGCACCAATGCTAAAGCTGAGAGTTCTGCCAAGGCAAAGACATTTGCAGTTCATCCTGACTTGTGTAGTTTATCTGGAAGAAAAGAGTCCCCCAGAAACCACCTGAGTTGCTTGTTTTCAACAAAGTCAAAGAAACTTAATGAGATCTGTGAAAGACAGAATGAACATTGAAAAAACCCCAAACAAGCTACAATCCTCTTCTCAATTGTGATGTTACTAATACTGCAAGTCTCTAAACAAGAGAATTGAAACTTCTTGAAGGGTATGCTTGTATGATATGCGTGCTTGATAAATGTGAATAAGCAGGAGGCATTCATAGGAGAAACAAAAAGGAAAGTGTTAGACTTGTTTTCTGCCTTGTTTCATTCAGCCATGACCAGTTAAAGTGGGAGGAAGAAGGGACTGGTTATTTCAAGACATCTTGTCTTCATCTAAATGTATTATTTGCATAAATATGATATAGAGAAGATCCTTATTTACTTGATGTATTTGAAAATAAAACCAGGTAAGAAAGGTAAGACCCAGGTTACTTCTGACTTCAAAACTCACTGCAATAAAAGCTGATAATAAGTACAACAACTGATCATATTGATAGCGTAAGTCCTGAACTAGTGTAAAAGGGCAGAAAAGGCAGAACTTCTTAAATTAGTAGCAGTACAGTACAGTTCTTCAATGCCTTTAATATTTTTAACATTTCTGTTGTTGAAAGAAATACTTATTTTATCCCTTCTCATCAATCAGTAACATTTTAGATTTTTTTTCAGGAACACCTGAAATACATTTTAGACTTCAGAATGTACACCACCATATTTATTCTGTTGTAAACAGTTTTTTAAACTGTACCTAGTTTTTTGTCTGCTTTCTATTCTTGACAAAGACCAATTAAGAAATATATTCTTTTTAAGTCTTATAAACAAGTATAGGATGTTTTTATGGAGAGATTTCCAAAGGAAAACTGACTTCTGTCTTCTGTAGCATGCAGTGAATTTTAAAAAGAGACATCATAAGAAAGGTGATAATATGACTTCCTGAGACAGTTCTCTCTGAATAAATCTGTAAATAAAAGTATTGGTACATATGATGGTCACGTCTCTTTTCTCCCTGCAGGTTCACAGTTATTGTTATGTTGCTACAGATCCACAGTCACTCGGTGGGCCTGAATCAATGCCAGCTTTCTCCTTGTGTAAGACAGCAGAGATAGCACTGACCATTCAAATTTTAATGTTCTGATGGCATTAAACCCCAAAGAAAATATTGACAAAGACATAGGTAAACATTGCAAAGTTCCTTTCCCAGCCTTACACTGCAATTGGAGCTTTATGACCTCAGCTCTTCTAGAATGGATTTACACAGTGGAGGGCTTGGATCATCTGCTGTGCAAGGAGAGACTGACAGTGCTGGGTTTGTTCAGCCTGCAGCTGAGAAAGCTCAGGGGGATCTTATCAATGTGTGTAAATAGGTGATGGGGGTGGAGGTTAAAAAAGAGAGAACCCGGCTCTTCTCAGTGTTGTCCAGGGAATGGACAAGAGGCAATAGGCATGAACTGAAATTCAACAAATTTTATTTAAACATAGGTGCTTCAAGTCCTGCAGTCCCATAAAACAAGATCACCTCCTCTTTTCTCTATTTTTATGGCTCCACAAAAGCCTCTCTCTTCCCTTAAAAATTCCTTCTCCCAGGAGGTACTGAGTTAATGGAAGTTAGTGAGTTAACAATGGCATAAAGTGAATTGACAAGATCTTTCTGACCTTCTTGTGTTTGTCATGGTTGTGCTCCAGCCATATCAGCACCTACAAAGTGTTCCAAGCACAGTGCAGAGCCTCAGACTCTTCCAAGCTTTTCTCTTCCACGGGTGTGACATTAGATGGGTTCGTGAAGAGCCATAAAATTAAAGAAACCATAAAACATAGCTTCTTCATAAGGCAGGTTAAAGGAGCTGTGAAGAATCATAAGGTTTGCCGTGCACTGACAGTGGAGACACAATCATTATCGGGAAAAGGCAGGTGGAGCTTCCATAAGCTTGTTATAATTAATAAGAGTTTATCTAGGGGAAATTTTTTTCCTTAGAATAAATGACTCGCTCTGCTCTTGAAAACACAGAAAAAGGATGAAGCTGGTGCATCTCTGCCGAGGCACTTCATGCGCAAATCTAGACATTTATTTGTGATGTTGTCAGTCTGTATCATGCAGGGCTTCTCAGAGCTGATCATCTCAACAGTGCATTTGACTGAACAGTGTTGATTATACAAGTGCAACATGTAAAAAACCCAAACAAACATCATACCTGGAAACAGTCTTTCTGCGTCACCATTCATTAACAATATTGCATTAGCAGGTGGCTTCACATGGGTTAGCATATAACATAGCAAATGGATATGACAGTTTTGAGGACAGAGAGAGCACAGGATAAATACAGCATATCGCTTTCACAAACACAGGATTTTCAAAACTCTGGCAATATTATAAAACTAAGAATGAAGCTTCATATGCAATTAAATACAAATAATTGGACTTAAGTATTTACTGTACAATAATTTCTGATAATGCTTTGCTAAACTGAATTTATTTACAATATTCTGTAAAGAGCAAATGCCATTTCACTCGAAGCTAGAAGCACAAAGGAAAATAGAGAAAAGAGAGAGGTTATTTTTAAGGTAAATACTGTCATATCCAAAGTCAAGATTTATGTGGCTTACAACCATTCACAAAATTCTTATTTTGGCCAAGTTTATTTTTTCAATTACAGTATCAAAGTCAAGAAGCCAGCTTTTTAAGAAGGAAGAAACAGCACCTGTTTCCCATAGATGGATTGTTTAGGTGCCTACACATGGATTTGAAGACCAGTCTTGGGCAGACGTTCATGACAAGCTCCATCAGTACTTTCATTTATGCAGAAGCAGCAGGATCCAGCATAAAATAGTTACTTCACAGTTGTGTTTTTAAAAAATAGGCTTCAATCTTTTTATATTCCAGTCACCTTGAACATTCAAATCTGCTTTTGACAGTAGCTGGGAACTAACTGATCTTTACTACTAACATTACTACTAATCATAACACAATTGCATCCTGCATGGCCGCTGTTTGATCCTCCTGCAGCTTTTGACTACCAGAAGGAATATCCCCGAACTTAAGATACTTGAAAAACAAGATAAATAACAACTTTCTTCCTAACTGTCCATTTCTATTACTTTTTCAGCTTATGACATACTTTATTAAATTCCACAAACTGGTAATGAGGAGTTTTGTAATGACTTCTCATGTAGGGCATTGAGTTACCATGGGCACACACTGTCACGTGTAATAGTATGTTCATACACTGAGGTCGGCAGGAATGAAGTAACAAAGCAGTCAAAATACATAAGATTTAAATCTGAGGCATTAAGCAATCAGTTTTATCAAGTCTCCGTTTAGTAAAGCTCTGGAATTGCAACCGCTCCAAGGAGGTAAGTGAGGAGGACGTGCAGCAGTATCAGCACGGCAACAGCACCAGTGCTACTGACACAGAAAAAGAACGCTCCCCTGGGGAGCTTCCTTCCAATCACTTCACACACTCCTACTCCACGTAGTGTACACAAAATGCAACAAAGCAGCAGCCGATCAGTGCCACCGCAGATGCTGAAATCACAGTGACGGTGCTGCCGGCAACACTGACCAAGAGCCCCAGGCATACACCGAGGATGATCTGGGCCAGCTGGACCATGGAGGTGAGAGCAGCACAGTCAATGCCCTTCCCTCGCCCGTGCTGTCCAGCTTGCTCCCCGTCCTGCAGCTTCAGGCTCTGCAAACAAGCACAAAACAAAACCCAGTGAAATGGGGCGGTGCTGACAACTCGCAGCTCTCAGCCAATGCACTGTCACAACCCTGAGGTGGAGCAAGACAAGCCAATAGTTCTCTGCTTCCCTTCTGTTCTTTCTGCTTGTCCCACAGAGTTTACAGAATTCAGAGATATTACAAGTGAAAATGAGTTTTCCAAGCTCTCCCCAAATTGTCCCATTTCTCCCATCTGCAATTTTTCCCTCTATCCCTTCTCTCAAGCAATTAAAATTAGCCATTTCCTTCAAGCTCAGGTCTATTTGAGCTCTGGAAAACTGACATTTCACAGTAGAGGACAGCCCATTAAGTATAATTTAGCTCCAGCTCTCATAGTTGAAGGAGAGCCTCAAAGGGGTGCTAAGATGGGCCATACCATGTCCCACACATATATAGCACATAATTCATTATAATGGAGCACTGTGCTCTCAAGTTACAGCTCAAAGCACATAAAGGATTTCAGTACTAAAATCCAAATGTAATCTTATGAGTGTGTGTGGGGGATATTAATTTGAAAATTAATATCCAGACTAGGATACTTCTGCACTATCAAAGACCATTATTAACTACTGATTATCTATATATCTGCTATGACAAACATAGCAGACCAAAAAGCTTAATTTATTATGTCTTCTGGTATCCAAATACTCTTGACCATTAAGATGCTTTTTTGCTTTTCACAACACCTATTACATTGCCTTTTAGCTGTTACCACACAAAGCTCAAAAATACTGAACACAGCCTCTTCCAAATCTAGTAGACAAAATTGAATTTGGGTCCTACGGAATAGCAGCATGGAATAGGATCTGAAATGTCATCATTTAACAACCCAGCACATTACTTTGGTAGAATGCATAGTGACAGAAAATGTCTGCTCTTTGTTTTGGAATGATACAGTCCTTTCACCTGAAATATTTCCAGTTTCAGACACTTTTTTTCGTCAATTATTCCTATTTTTCTGGGCTGTGCCCAGCGCTCCCAGGTGCCAATGGTTCCAAATACAGTGTATGTGTGTGTAAATGAATGCAGTCTTGCACTTAACGTTGCCTCTTTATTTTTTCTATCATCTTGTACATTACACATAATTTGAGCTAAACGTAATTCTGTTAATATCAGGTCTAACACAGAATTATATATCATTTAACATATGGCATAGCAAATATCATACACCAGATAAGGACCAATTGGTTGTCTTACAAGAAACATTTGAATATATTAGCCTATTAAATATGAAGTCCATCCAGACTTCAGCATGTTTTATTTCACTTCTGTCTTGGAACAGCTCTGAATCAGAATTTTGCCTTTATTCCCTCTCTCTGAGTTGGCTGCCCGAGGTTAGGATTGTGATCCCACCCTAAACTGCATTTCATTGTCTGTCCTTTGTCATATCCTTCTAAAACTCTTCATCATATCATTCTCTGTTGGAAGGAGCAGAGAAATTAACTGAAAACTTAGGAATCAGATCTATGCAATATCTAATCACTTTGAGACATCTTCCTAGGATTTAATAGAATAATTAAGAGTTTTCTTGTATTCATCATTCAGATGGTGATGCTTAGAAGTTGTGCAGAACAGCAGGACATGTTCTCAAGGACTTGATCTAGCCCTGTGCTGATCTCAGCTGTTCCTATGTTGTTTTTCAACAGTTCAACATTTTCTTTATTCATTTCTTTGAATGTCCCCAGACAGAATGAGAACTTTACCTAAGTTGTCCCAACTCTCCTTAATCCTTCTTGTTTCCAGCTTTCTCGCTATAACGTAAGAGACTTGAAAGAACTTTTCCATTAAAGAGCTCAAAACGTTACAAGAAGTGAAGATCCTGCTGTGCCCAGAAACATGATATAAGGAATGCAAGCTTTTCCAGATTTTCCTTGGAAACTGTATTTCATGCTGTGGAGGACCAAAAACCAGTCCCTGACATTTAGAGAGATGATGAGAATGTGGTATATAATTTAATACTGAACTATATGAAACTGTGCTTGAATTTCATATCTTCATTAGCTAACAGCTTTTGTAACACTTTGCAGTTAACTAAAAATGCTTCCAGCCTTTACAGTGTGGTTATTAACCATACGAACTCAGAAGTCACCTCCTCAACTGATACAGCTGGAAGGAGGGATGTAAGAAAGGTAGCACTTGAAGGCAGCACAAGTGGAGCCTTGTCAGCTGCCTGAATTCATACTATGATTGGCTTTGTTTCAGTTCTGATGATACATAATGATTTGTCTCACTGTAGGACTGTTTAGAGATTTTGGAGCTGGGGCTTTACCTCTCTCTGTCAGAAACTTTCCATTCGTAACGTGTGTCATCATAAATAGTTTTAAATTAAAATGAAATGCTGCTCACCAGTTCAATCCTGTTTTCTCCCAGAATAGACTAAACAGACCCAGACACATATAAACTTATCCTTCCTTAGAGATTGAACTCACCTCTTCTTCCCTGTGATACTCTGCAATGAGGTGGAACGGCACTGTATATAGAGTGCTGGACATGATGCCAAAGAGGGAACAGAGAGCCAGAGTGGAATAGACATAGGGAAACAAGCCAATTAATCCAGTACCCAATCCAAAAAGTAGGTATCCGATGAAATAAAGTCCCTTTAGTCCTAGGTGTGGCAGGAGGATTTTCTGTATGTCTGTGAAAAGAAAGTGAAAATACTGATAAAACAAAACAGGTCGTATTTAATCAGGGAGTTCCTTTAAGGGGTTTTATTTTGTAAAATGCAACGAAGGAGATAATCTTACTCATTCTGGAAGTTGCCTTAAATTACTGTAGGTATAAACTTGCCAAAGAATACTTGCTCACTCTGGGGATAGTCTTATTCTGACACAGCCAACTCCAGAGAAGTGGTTAACAACCATTCTGGAATAACAGCGCTCATTGACAACCTCAGACATTTCCGCTGTTTGACAGTAATGTGCACATTTGGCATCAAACTCTGTCTGACCTGAGAAAGACGCTACAGAAATGCCTGCAGTTAGGCTCCAAAGGCAAAAAGATTTCCCTGAAGCCTCTTTTAAATGCTCAGTTCAGCCCCCTAAATGCTACTCAATTGAGTTTTCGGATCGCAAGTTTAATCGTTCGTAAGAGCTGCAGTGAAATCTATCTGGGGAACTGTGCTAGTGTGTTTACACATAATTTTGAAGACCAAGGTTCATGCTTCTGGCAAGAACTTCTACTGCATTCTGAAAGACTTATTTTATGAGGAATGCAGATGGGGAGAGGCCACCAGAAGGGCCTTCAAGAACCTACAGCTACAGCACTACTAGGTGCCAGAGCATCTCAGAATAATGCCCACAGCATCCATTTTAGTCTGGCATTTAACTTCCAAGTGACTTTCAGTATTCAGGGTCTGAACATGCAGAACAATGCCTTATTCCCAAAGTGACCACTCATCACAAGATCGTGAACCATGTTAAGATATGAGTTTCTAACAATGCTTCTCAAATTTTTAATGTGGGGAAAAAAACAGTTAATTTGGCATCACATTATTTTTTTAAACAATGGCAAATAACAAACAGTTTAAACATTATTTCAAAACACAGTGTTGGAGTGCATTGCTGGGTACTTACAAGAATAGGCTGATGAAGAAATTGCATTGATGCACAGCCCCCAGCATCCCATCTCTACTCCTTTTCTGTAGGAAAGGTAAAGCGTGGAGTTACGGGGTGCATAAGGACTACCGTGGTATACAACCTGAAAGAGACCACAAAGATCACAGAAGGCAAGGATGACTGCATGTGTATAGTACCTCCTTCTTAAGGGAACAGGGTGGTCAGTGCGGGGCCTCATCCCTGGTAGGTGAGATAATTAGCACCCAAGAAATCAATTAATCAATGCCTTAACCATCCCTTCACAGCTCTCCAGGTTTCACATTGATTTCTCCCAGATTGTCACATCCCAGGCTTCTCATTTCTTATTCTTTGCATTTTCCTGAACTGTCTGCTCTAGACTAGTCCATCTGCTCTTTTTCCTTTGGCTGTCTCATTTCCCACTCTTCTTTCTCCAATTCTGCCTCCTTGCCTGTCCTGGGTTCAGCTGTAACAGTTATTTTTCTCCTTCTTAGAAGGTGCGGTGCTGTGTTTCAGCTTTAGTCTAGGAACAATGCTGATAACATACCAATGTTTTAGTTGTAGCTAAGTACCACGACACTGCCTTAGCCTTTCCCTAATTTATCTATAATTAGGTTTTTTTTGTTTTCTCTTTTAGGCTTACCCTAACACACTAGTTTTTCTACCCAGTAATTGTCTTATTCAGTTCCTTATCTCGGCAAGCAAAACTTTTTCTTTCAGTGGTTCATATGCACTGCAGGAAAACACGAAACAAAACAAAAACCAACAAGCTTTCCTCTTGCCTACAGAGACAAAAAAAAAGGCAATAAAATGGGAATACTGTGTGGAAAGCACAGTTAAAAAAAGGAAGCGCAATGAGAAGATTTGTGCCAGGAACATATTTGTACACTGGAAGAAAGGAGGCAGACAGGGTCATACAGGCAAGAATCACTGACAGGGACATACAGTCCTGCTGCCTGGGAATGCTGCAGGAAAGGGAGCATTGGGTATCAGGAAGGCAAATAATTGCTGGCAGAGGGGCCTCAGGGGAAGATTTAAGGATATGTGCCAGGGGCAGCCAAATTGAAGGAGGCGAGAGGTTTGAGGTACAAAGCAGCTTACTGTGTGCGAAGAGCTGCTACCAGAGCCTGAGGTGAGGGAGGCTGCAGTGCGCGTGAACAGCGCTGTGCCCACAGTGCCCAGGACAAGGCTGGCTACACGCAAGCAACATCAGCAGTACTTTGGTTAGGAAACCTGCCCGTCTGGGAGCAGCTCCAAAGCCAAAGCAGAGAATGGATGTGTTTGGAACAGCTCATTTGGAACAGTTAAATAAACACAAATAGCTTTACAAACGCTAGAAGGTCCTCCTCAAAGATCCAACAGACTGGTTCAGAATGCGGGGTCTGAGATCAATTAGCTGTTTCACAAAACTCTTGTTAAGCCATCCAGATACTGGATCTGCCACCACTGCCACTTCCTCAGCTTTATAACAGTGTCTCATTTCCTTTTGGTGGAGTAGAAGATACTAAGATGCATGAGAAATGAGAGGATTTTGCATGTTTACCTGTCCCATGAAATCCGTGAAGAAGAGCATGTTGGACAGGAAAGCCATCCATCCAAAGAGATGGCTCACACACAGACAGCGATAGTGGGGTGGCATGTTTAAAAGTGTCTTCGAGAGTGATTTAAGGGTCATCCGCCTTTGATTCTAAAAGCAAATATTTAACAATAATACTGTATTATTGCTCTGAAGGCTAATAAAATAGCTGACAGCAAATGAAGAAGGCCTTGCCATCTTTTCATTGCTAAACTTCCAAAGTTTTTTATTCTCTGCTAGGAAGAGTTGCTTGGATACTGAAAGTCCTTCAATATAAATTTGATTTGTAGAGCCCTTGCCTAGTAAATTCATCTGAACAATTTGCAAAGACTCTGAGAGAGCTGGAGCGTATCAGCAAGGATGTAACATTTCTTGCTGTAGGATACTCAGTGGGATTATTATTTATCTGTAGAACCAAGTGAAAAATTTCTGCCAAAACAAACCCAAAGCAAAACAAAACCAGCCAAACAAAATGAAGCCAGAAATGCAAATATGGAGACCATCAACTTTACATTGAATGTAAAGTTGCCACATTAAAAATGAAACTCAAAATACTTCCTGAGAATTAAAAAGTATGTGTCATGGAATACGGTATTTCTGAGACTTTGTTCCCATTCTGCTGCCCAGAAAACTTCACCTATTCTGGCACATCATGAGATTTCCACTATGTCCTGTCCTCCCCTCCATGAAGCAGAGAGAGACTGTGATACACCACAGGAGATGCAGCACTGCTCAAAATCCTAGTTCCCAGAGAACATGAGGTCCAGCACTTGGATACCTCCTCATCCCACAGAAGAAATAAGTAATTTCAAAATCATAACGTTATCAGTGCTCGTTAACAAATCTCACTGATGGGGAAAAACAAAGTATCTCATCACTTTTAATGTCCCTATTTATCTCCCTCCTCTTTGTCTGCATCCTGTGCCCAAAGTCCTCTCTCAGTTTCTTTTCCAGTCATATTCATCAGATAACTTGTATCACTTCATTTTTTTTAATACTGAAGGTGTGCTTGATGTCAGGCATTTGTGACATATAATTCTTAGTGCTCTAAAGCTCCTGCATGGCTCCTCTTTGCTTTTAAAGAAAAAAAATGATATTATCTGTGCATGATGGAACACTTCCAATTTCCTTTAGTGATGTTTGGACGCAAAAGTGTAGGGAGAGATGGTAAGGGAAATGTGAAAGTATTGTAAAAGTTATGTTCATTACTGGAAAGATGAATTTTGTCTTCAATTTGCTGTAAGATAATGGCATTTTTTTCATTCCTTCCATCAATGTTCTACTTACTTTTCACAATTCTGCTCTCCTTTGAACTAGGTTATGCTGTGAGCTACTCTATGAATAATCAGCACATACAAAGTTGGAAAATACGTTGCTCCAGCGGGAGGTTTTTAATTCTCACAGAAAGTTGCTGACTTTCACCTTGAACAGCATATTGTCCAAGTTCCTTGGAATTTCTCTTGGCATCACTGTCTGTTTTAAACCAAGTAAGCTTTCTATAGTTCTACATTTGTAAAAAAACAACCAAAAGAAAAAAATTCCATGTTGACTCGTTAGTGTTATTTCAAAGATAATTACTATCATTTGACTTGGCTTATTTAATTCATTCAGCTTTTCCACACAGTTCTTTATAACAGCCTTTCCAATCAAAGTGTTGTGGTAAGGATGGGGAACTAGAAAAGGATACTGCTGTAATTACAAACAATAATTTGACAGCTAGGTGGAATGCTTGCTTTCTGTTTAGGTGTTTTAGAGTAGAAACGGAAACTGAAAAGTTTAATGCACATATTCAGTACACACCAACCCAAAAAGCCCACACTAATTTAAATGGCATGCTGAAGTTTGGCTCCATTTAAGTACCTTATCCTGCAAAAGCTCACAATACCAACTCATTTTCTCTATAAAATCACTACAGCTCAAGGCCTAAGATGGTTTCTAAGGGATACAGAGGAATCAATGTAACTTGGCTTTTATGGCAGTAGATCCTGAGTAATTTGGTACCATACCAAAAAACAAAAGTCTAATCACTTTGGATGTCTGTTCATACTGTAACAGGTCAAATCTCACTAATAATCATGCTAATTACAGTTAATAGCTCCATTAGCATGTAAGAGCACAGCCCTTAATTTAGACAATATAGGGCCATGATGCCTGCAGCAAAAAAAAGAGACATAGAAAAACAGGAAGCCAAACCATTTCTTCAAGGAAGCAATTATAGTAATGAATTAACTCACAAAACATGTGCCACAGGAGACAGATCATTAAGCCAGTGAACGTCTAGAATATGAATATGCCCAGGCACATCAAAGGAACATGAGATATCAAAGCACTTCGAGCCTCTCTCAGTCTGCCCAGCTAAGAATACAGAGACGAGTGCAGTGGCACAAGCTTGCCACAGTGGACACCTTACCTTGGGTGTCAGATGTTCCTGATTAGTTCTTTCCAAGGTAGAGGCTCCTCCCTTCCAGTATATCTGCTCTCTCTTCATCATTTACCTTCCCTTCTCTAGAGCCCACATGGGCCAAGCAGTCAATGACACTCAGTTTCTCTGACAATTTGGAGGGTGCTCAGAGAGAGCAGTGCTGGTGGAGGATGCTCAAGGTGGCCTATGGTGGGGAAATAGGGACAGCATCGCAGTGTGCTAGCCATGTTCTCCCCACAAACTGTTGCTTTGCTGTCTGCCCTCTCTGTGTTTGTGTGTCATTCTCACCAGGCAGTGTTCATGTCTTATTCTACCTTTGTGTCGTATCTGGTGAAGTATTTTCCTTTGGGTTAGGAAAACCAAGTGTTCTTATAATACAAATGATAAATAGTAACAGGTAATAAATCCCTTTTATTTGAGGCTAAAACTCAAGTTTAGGTTTCTGACTTATAACCATCTGCACATTCTCAGTATTTTTTACCCAATTTATCAAGACCTGTCAGGGATAGATATACGTGAGGTCAAGCGATCAGAAGTAAAATTAAAACAACAAGCAACTGTTTCATCACTTATAGAAGCCAGTGAGGATTCCTAGCACTAAAAGTCATCAACAAAACAGTAAAAACTATCGTCTGTTCCCAAGACCATTCTCGAAGTGTTCTTTCCAGGTATTTTTGGGGTAGATTCACCTTTTCCTAGCTGCCTTAGATTGAAGCAATCTCTCATAAAAACGCAGCAGAATCAAGTAACAGTGATGATCTGAAAGCACTCACTATTCTCTTCCACCCAAAAGTTCTGCCAAAGACACACCTACAGCACAACTTTACAGTAAAACTAAACCTCTCGAAGTGAGGTAGCATTGCTGTAGAAGTGGCAATTTTAAACACAATACTGACAAATTACTGTCAATAAATCCTCAATGAAGCGTTAGGCAGCAGCAAATCCATTTGCTAGACCAGGGAACAAACACTTCACATGTACTACGTGTGAAAGCGTGTGGACTTCAGTGGCAGTTACAGATTTATACCAAAGATTAATGGTCTTTAGTCTTTGTCCACAATTTGACATTAATTCTGTCAGATCTAAAGGACAAAGATTCTTTTCACAAAATTCATGAGTGACACTGAAACAAAGCAGAAACCTGAACCTGGTTCTCCCTTAGCCCAACCAATTGTTCAAAGCATCAGGACTAGCCTGTCTTGTACCTCTTGCTGGAAATACTTCATATATATATAATATATATATATGTATATAAAATATATAAAGAGAAAAGAAAGCAGGCTTTATTCTGATCCGGTATCCTGATGGAGGATGATTTTTATGTGTGTGTGAAAAAATAGTCAGTGTATTGATTTAAATTAGATATAATGATATGGATTACAAAATCACCTCTGCACTTACCTCCGTATGTGATACCACAGCACATTTCCCTGGTTCAGCTTCAGCCTTTATTTCAGTACATGTTGATTTTAAGTAACCATTCTTGATTTCTCCCTCTATGGAGTTATATTTATAGGACTCAGTCACTTCCAGCAAGAACTTTGATTCTTCATTTTCATATCTGAGCGGAACTTCTGGAATACTGCGCAGATGTACAGCAAGGCAGATTAGGAAAACCAAGGCTGCGAAGAAGAAAATGACCTGGAACTCCGATGTCAAGGAATATCCTAGCATAATTTGACCCCAGTCCACAGCACCTGTCAGGTAACCCAGGGCTCCTCCCAAACCTGTGCGGGTGGGAAAAAAGGAGAAAAAAGGTCCACTGGTGTTCATAAAATAAACAAATAGTACACAATACCCTCAATATGTGACCCCCACTAGAAATGGCTTCAGATATTAATCACAAGAAATAGGAATACTGAGCTAATCACATACATGATGTAATTACCACACATCTCTTGAGAAATCTCCTTAGCTCTGGAGCACAGAACTCTCCAAAAAATGCCCTAAGATACAGCAACATGGACTTCAATCTCTTTTCTTGACTCTTCAAAGTTTTATTTTCTTTGAAACAGTGAGTTCATAAAATTCTACTGAAATTTGTGTTAAAAAAGTCCATGAAAAACCCAAACATTTTAAAATTATATCAAAGCTATCTATAGTTTAGACTTTGTAAAATGTCTTTTATAGAGGTGAATCTAAACAGAATTACTCTTTCCATGTGACTGTTTCTTAAAGGAAATGAAACCAAAAGCATTGTTTTTTAGTTATCAAAATCCAAGTACCTCACCATGCAGAAAACAAAAAGAATAAAATACAAATGTGTAATTCCATTTACTGATTTTCTCAGAAAAGTTAGAATAAAAGGTAAAATGAGAATGCTGCCTTGTGTCTTAACAAAACCAGCACTCAGTCTGATTGTTTTCACGATTTCTTCTCTTTGTTCTTAGTGCTCACACAGTTTCAGAAGCACAAGGAAGTGCACACTGTTCCATACAGAATGGAGCTCTGGAAGGGAAACAGCTCTGTAGAGTTGTGACACCCTGTTAACCAGGTGGCTTTTGCAGGTCATGGAAGTTAAGCAGGGTAGAAGCATTTGAAGGACTTACTTGGAAGTATTTCTGTTCTGCTTAGGAGAACTGAAAACAACATATGGCAGAACCATTCTGTCTAACAAAAAGCAACAGGACCTACATTTGCTTCACCTACAAAACCTGGGATTTTGATTTCATTCTGGGCTTTCTGTACTTTTCTCCCTCTTGGATGTGATTACGGCCCTTCATTGTGTCCTACTGCATTTTACAGGGGACTGTGTCTTTGCCTGTTTTCATGAAGAACAATTAAGCTGTGAACAACTTTTTGAAGGAAACCTGTGCTACGTGCCTGCACAGAGTGAATGTTTGACGTTTGAGGCTGTCTTTGCGTGCTGTTTTGACAAAAAGTAATTGTGACATTGGAATGCAGTCTGAGAGTTGTGTGTTGGATATGTGTGCTCTTCCTTCCATGTCTCAGTGGTCATAAGTTTCACAACTGCAAAGCTACAGAGTTTCATGTTCAAACTTTAAACTGAAGACAAATTGGAGAGCAGTATCTTGGAAATACGTAGTACAAAAAGAAGAAACTAAATCAGGGAAACAAAATAATAGCTAAAATGAAAGCTAGAAAAGAAATAGGAAGATTGCTGTCTGTGTCTAGTAGGGGTAGAACAAGGAATGATAAACGTAAATTGTAGGGAATGGTTATTAAGATTAGATTTTAGAGATAACTCTCTAACAACAGGCCAGTGAAGTGCTGGAACTGACTGCCTTGGGAGGGCTGCAGAACCCTCCTTGAGGGAAGATTTCGAGAACAGGCCAGGTAATTACCCATAGGGTAGAGGGCACAGGGTGCTGGACCAAATAATGCAATCTGTTCCAGTCTTTTCTGACGTTATTTGTCCCATATCCCTTTTCACAGCTCAGTATACAAATGAAACAGCTAGATCTGTGGCTGCAAATGTGGAAATCAAGCCTTTTTCATACCATCCAAGTAAAAATTGCAACCAGAGTTCTGCTGAAGGCAAGAGTGTACATAGAGACTGACTCCCCTCTCTGTCCAAACAGGTGATTGTTAAAAATCTCATCTGTCAGTTTCCAGTGGATAATACTTATTTGATTCCATGTGGATTTAAGGTTCTCTTATAATCTATGTTCCTGGACACAGCTATTTTAAATGTCCAGTGTTGGTGTTTTGTCAATAGCTACTATACCGCCCTCCTCAACTAGAGTAACTGCCACTGAATCTACATGCCTCTGCTCTTGGTTTGGCTCAATAGCCACAAAAATCTTCATCAACACAGATTGCATGACTTCTCATCCGGTCTGCTTTTTGTCTACTCCTTTTACAGTGACTGCTCTTAAGACATGGCTGCAAGTGCCTCCTGGTTCACATTACAGGCACACAGACTTATGTGTCTTCCCTGTGCATCTTCTCAACACAGACATAGTGCAGGTGGTTTCCTTCTGTAATCTAGCAGTATTTCAAACATGTATAAAGTCACATGAAGCTCTCACTTCATATGCAAACCCCTGCACTGAACCAGTTAGATGTATTTTCTGGAAGTTGTGAAGTTCTGAATTTTACACAGAATTCCTATTTCTATACAGGAAGGCACATACTGGAGAAAGGAAATCAACTATTCTGGTTTGGCAGCTCTTGCTCTATGTCACATTCCAAGTCAAAAATGTTATTGTTAAGCACTATGGCAGGGAAACAAGTTACATCTCTTAATTTTCACTTCACCAAAAACTTGACAAAACTCAGAATAAGATGAATAAACACTACTTCACTTTTTAGAATAATTAATTGTTCTTACTTAAATCATGGTTATGTTGCTGTAGAAGTTTATGCCTGCAGCCTTCTGCAGAGGAGTTCTTGTAGCAGCAATCACAAGTTGCTGTTCTCTGTGGTAGTGAAAACTCAGCAACAAAAGACTCGTGACTGAAGCGCGGGATCAGATGATCCGTTCATTCAAGATTAGAAACACAGGGAGGATAAAATCCATGCAACTAACTTCCCCTCCTTTGAGAGGAAGGGAGGAAAAGAAGGGATCTGAGTACCTGTGAGGAGGGCGTGGTAATGCAGACCTTTCTCTTTATCCTCATGACAGCAGACATCAAATAAATATGCTTTGATGGGGCCATCAATAAAATCAGCTGCAAAATCAAAAAGCACTACTCCCAGCATGGTAATGATTATTGCCCACGTCTGCTGCCTTTGTCTCTCAGCGATGAAAGCTACGAAAAGAAAAACACCCTCATTCTCACATCAACAGTGTCATGTTCTGCAAAAACACATTTTATCTTTCCTGGTACCTCCAAATCTAAACTGTGCAGTGATACCAGAATCCCATCAGAGAAGCGGGATAACTGAGTCTGTAGTGCTGAGCTGTGCAAGGTTGACTTACTTCCTTCAGTCAGCACAAGCTCAGGGTACCCCAAGCTCCACAATCAAGAGCATCACTAGCCTTAGCCTACTCCTTTGCATCTCCATGGCGTGCTCTGATAGCCTAGCACACATGCATTTTGCAGTCCTTTTTTGCTTTATTCTATTTGTCCCACCCCTCCACTGTTGTAGATAACCAAGAGTTGGCTGTAACTCTTTGGGCAGATGAATACAAGTATATTCAACACCAGTGATTATCAGGAAGAGAGAATAAATCAATACATAAAAACACACACTTCCCCCCTCTGCCAAGTCATAATGACAGCAACAGCTTTCCATCAAGACTTTGAGAACTACATCGCAAGCTGAAATACAACAGCATGTAGGGATGTCACTCCTGTTCAATTTTGCATATTCCAGGTGCAACATGGTTTCCAAAGAATTGTGGATTTCTGTAATTCACCAGCAAAACATAGTCCTGAGTCAAGCCAGTGCTCCAAGAATTAAAGATATGTATTTTAAATGGTCATCCATCTCAAAGAGGGATTAAAAGATACTCAGTTTGGATGTGTACTTCATCACACAGACAATATTGATTGCTTAACTTAACAAGGTAGATTTAAGCTCATAAAAACTTCTCTGGGCCTAAGCAGTGCTTTACTTACAAGAGCTGATCAGGCCACCACACCGACATGCAGCATACTGTGATCACATGCACAAACTACAGAACACTATGTACAGGGTACGTAACATGCAGCGTTGGGAGTCAACATACACAAAGATTTTAGTGTTCCGCAGCTCCTTCAGTGCAGCTGAGCAACACAGTTCCCAATTTTAACAGGGGAGAAAAGGAACCCCTCTTTTCTTTCTGATTCAAAAGGCTAGGACGAGTTTTGACTGTCAGCACAGTGTATGCCCCTCACTCACCTGAGATCATCATGTCCCCATTGAGGTACAAAGCCATGCCTAACAGCATAGTGATGCCCAGACCCAGAATGTAAGGTCTCCTCCTGCCCCAGCTACAGGTGCAGTGATCACTGGCTGAACCTACCACAGGCTGCAGCATGAAGCCCAGGATAGGGCTGATGAGCCACACCAGGCTGTAGAGGTTCTTGGGCAGCCCTACACTGAGCAGCACCGGCGTGACGAAGGCGGCCTCCACGGCATAGCAGAACTCGCGCCCGAACATCACCATGCTGTGCATGACCAGCCTTCCCACCGCTCGCTTCCTTGGCACCGCGGCTCCAGCCTTCCTCACTGACTGCAGCAGCGCCTCCTCCTCTTTGGTGCTGTCCATGTCAGCCTTGGCCACCTCGGGACGCGGTAGGAACTCTCTGTTGTGAAGGTTACCGCTCTGGCTACGTGCGGCGCGCCGGCGAGTCGGTGCTGCCCGCTCTGGCTGACATGGAGCCCGGGATCATATGCCGGGTGGGATCGGCCTGTGCTGGGGGAGGGACTCACATACTTTCATGGCTCTGCAATCACAAGTTATGCAAGGAAGGGGGTGGGGAAGCCTATGTTAACTTGAGCAGAACTGAGCTCTTGGGCGCCTGCAAAGCTCCCAGCTATCCACAACTAAGGAATTACTGTTTAAGCATGAAACACACATATAATGGGAACATACATCACGTGGGAAAGGCACAGGATTAGCCTGCCACAAAGCTACTCCTCGCTGCTGTAAGACAGCGGTGATGCCAAGAATACAGAGCCTCCATCTCTCTCTAACACCAACATGAACACCAACCAGAATGCCAACTTCCTGTTGATTGAAAAGGGGGGCAAAAGTCTAGAGTATGTATCCAGAAAGGAATTTCAATGGACTTCATGAAGATAAGTGAACCCACCTATTGCCCTGGAGTATTAAGTGGCAGATAAAAAGCATAACAGATGTCTGTCGAACAGCAACTAGTGATTATTTTTGTGTACCTGCTGTGTCCCATCCTCAGTACAACCGATTATTTCCTTCATTTCTGGAGAACAAAAGTATCAGGACCACTTAGCTTATTTTTAAACAGCCTTACCTGCCAAGAGAAGGCCCTAAAGAAAGAAATCTGTAGTGACATACCAGGACCGTACCTTTCAGGTTAGCCACCTGCATGTGGCAGCTGATCCAACCTGTGCTGGAGTTAACATGAGTCTTTTAAACTGACGTCAGTGATTTAGGGCCAAAAGTTATGTGCATTGTTATCAAACATTTGATAATGTTTATATTGTTCCCCAATGTGATCAGACGCAGCTGGGACTAAGCAAACTGTCAACTCTTATTGTAAAGGTGTGTAATAATCAGTAATTTACATCAGCGTAATTATTAGCTGGGAACTTAAGATGCTACTATTGAATTTGTCAGGACCTACTAGACAATTTGTGCTTCCAGGCAGGTATGTGGTAACGTGGTAGAATGTAAAAGGTGATTTTATAGTAACAACACTGAGAATTTTGGCATGGCACATGTAAAATGAGCCAAAGTGCATCCCATCTTTTGAAGTCTCTGTCAGCAACAGAGAACAATCAATCTTCAGTGAGGTAAACACCCTGACAAAGTTAGCAAGAACCCCATCACCTCATATATTAATTCCTGACATGTCAGACTAAAGAAAACTATATTAAGGCCATATAACTAATTCTTTTTAAAAGCATGTTTTCTTTTGCCTAGAAGGAGACTGTTTCAAATGATGGTTTAATTTTGAAGGAAATGAAAACCTCTGTGGAATAACCCCTGTTTACAACCTGTGCAGCCAAGTTGCCTACCATTTCATCAAAAAAGAGAGAAAGGATTAATACTTGGCTGCTATTTTAAAGTAACAAATTTAATTCTGAAGTGATTTTCTAGGCAAACTGAAATTCCAAACGTAATATAATGAGAAGACTGCATTAAGAAAATGTAGTCAGGCTATTAAATAGAATTACTCTACGATAATAACTCTGCAGCAGCACATAAGAAACCAGCATTATTTCAATGACTGTTTTGGCATGATATGGCAAATGAAGTAATATGATAAGAGGAAGAAAGATCCCTTGTAATCAATGAATAAACAACACAACCACTTGTTTAGGAAGAATATAACTCTATTTTATGAAAACTAGGGCCTTCATGTAATTACAACACGTATTACAGAGCAACGGTGTAACGAAGAATTTAAAGAAACAAACATTTCACAGGAGATAATATTTAATGAAAAATTTTGAGGATTTTCAGCTGCTTACTAAGCCAGCTGTGTAGAACACAATCCTGGTACCATTCTAGACTGCACACCACCCAGGTACACGTGTACATGGCTCCCATTGTTTTCAATTAAATCTAGAACTTCTATACCTTCTTTAATTATTTCAAATCAGTATCATGCAAACATTTTTTGTCACATAATTCAATTTTTAATGCATAAAAACCTGAGCGTATCAGTCTGAAATTTGTCTGATCTACAGTCAGTGATCATAAACTAGATTTTGGTTTACTGAATTCTATTACTTTATCAGAATAAAGTTTAGCAATCTCTTGCTCAGTAAATCCATATTCCAGAAGTACCTCCTTCGTGTGTTCTCCTATAAAAGGATCTCTTTTACACGATGGAACAGCAGGCGTCCTTGATAGAAGAGGAGCAGGTCTAGGATTTATCTCTTCCTGATCGTTTTTGATAAAAGACTTTCTTTGTTTGTTATGCTGATGTGAGGCAACATCATCAAAGGATAAAACAGGAGTCACACAGGCATCAGTACCATCAAATATATCGCACCACTCAGCTTGTGTCTTCTGTGCAAATATGGATGCAAATTTTTCCTTCATTTTGGGCCAGTCGGAGAAACTCAGCTGACTGGGAAGTTTATCTGAATCTAGCCCAAGACCTGAAAGGAGGAAAGCAACATTTAATTGTAACATAGCTCAGATAAATTACCAAGTGCTACTCACAAGTAGGTATGTTTCTCAAGAAGCTAATATTTCACAAGCAGTCCAACACAGCAGAGCATATTAGCTCTGCTCATTTCAAATTTTATTAGGTTACCTATAAGGGGGAGGGAGAATAAAATGTTCTATTACTAGCAATTAGACTAAACCGCATCAGCTACAGCCTTTTAACTAAGTGCATATAATAAACACTCATTTGTATAAACACTGCATGAGTAGCAGCTGCCTAGAGATAACATTTTGTCCTGAGAACATTTTCTACAATAGGTATTGTATTCTCTAATTGGCAGTAGCAACACAAAAGTCTGCTGAATGCGTCTAGGTCTACAGCAATATGCTATCTCATAGAAACCAGTACCTCAGCCAGAGCTGGATATTCAGCAGGCTACTGTGTTTGAAGTCCAGCACAACTGGGTTATTTCTGTGCCAGAGACGAGAGGGCTGTGTAACGGATACACCCCATCTGAATGTGCATGAGGCAGCTCAGCTGCAGATACCTGCAAGTTAACTGACTGCTTCTTGACTCCCGTGGTCCAAATGGACTGCAGCAGTGTTTGCTGCTCTTTCCACTTCAGCACACTTCCCAGCTTCCAACTCTCCACTGCTGCTCTTCTGGAAAAGTGAAACCCATAGTTCCTGCACTCACCAACTGCTTAAGAACTCTGCTTCCCAGATCAGCTGCATGGACTAGGTATGCGGTATGCACATCTTGTCTGAGACACAGCAGCAGAAGATGGACACACAGGCTTTGCACTGAAAAGTCCCTGAACTAGAGAAGTCCTAAGTCCTTCCCTGAACTAAGCACCACCCTTCCTCTCACTGGGAAGTTTACATCTCTCCTGTGCAGCCGGTTTCCCAGCACTATTTCTGTTCTCAAGGATCCTGCTCTATGCACTCCTACTCTTTCATTCTTCTGCTTCAAAGAGATGCAAGAATTACTATCACTCCTTGTAGGGTTTGTCTCAAAAAAGAGGTAAGAAACAAAGAGAAAAAGCAATTAAACTACACTTTCAAAACAGAGAATAGTATAAACAGACATAAAAACAGCCTATGATATCAAACAGCAATCGGAAGTGGTATATTGAAGGCTGTCCAGTCAGTCACAACTTGAAATTTAGGAGCATGAACATAGCAGGGAAATTTCAGGGAGAAAAGGGGATAAGAAAGAAGTTAAATTAAGAAATAAGAAATGCTACAGAACAACTATCATCATAATGCTTCACAAACAAGAAGAAAAGGGAGCTGCTTAGAAAACAATAGCTCTGTGTAAAAGGCAAGGAAAATGTGGATTTCTGCAAACTTTTAATTTTGAGCATTCTTTCCTCTATCTTTGGATATCTGGTATCAGATTAATGATTTGACTTGCAACTGGTAACACAAAACTTCTCTAATCTTTAGCTGCAGATAGGCAGAAAAAAATTTCTGTCCTTCTGTTTCTACAGCTTATTTATCACTGAGTGGGGTACACACAAAGCTGCTGAAACATACAGGGGAGGACAAAGGAAGACAATGGCCATTCTTGCGCTCTTTAAATTCCTTCCTTCTGGTCATAATCTCTACTACATGCACTTCTCGGGGCTCAAAGTCTCCCTCAGGTAATCACAGTATTTAAGAATTACACTGTTAAGCACAAGATTCTTAAATAATAGCTTTGAAAATGAATATACGCTTTGAAATCTTAACTTTGGTACTGCAAAGGGAAACAGAGAAAAATTGCCAGTCTCCAGACTCAGGAATACAGCCTTGCAGTTGTTCATGTTTACAAGAAAATGAACACAGTCAAAGACAGAATAAGCATTTTCGTATCTTATTAAGAGATTCCTATGGGTATCAGGATAAATATTACTACAAGGTAAAGATCACTCCTTAACAAGTTATCAAGTCATGTGCACTTTACAACACTAAACTTACAATCTAGTCTTCATAACCATTCATACCATCCTAAAAAATGATCAGCTGAAGATTATTCATACTGGTTGAGCATGTGTAACTAAATGCTTTCAAATTAATTTTATTACTGATCTTCAAAGTATAATACTAAAGATGAACAGTGCTATATAGCTTTCTTAAGAACTAGGTGAGACAAATTTACTTTCCACAATAAGATAAGTAATAACACACAATGCATGAAACATCGTCAATTGGAAACATTGTTTCATAAGTATTTATTTGCTTATTAATTATGGTTTGGTTTCTAGTAGCCAGTCCAACATCAACAGAGCTCTACCATTATCCCATTACACAATTATATTGAAGATCATGCCAGATGGAAAGTTGGCTTAACCTAACTGTACATGCTCTAGCAAAATAGAACAATATGCAGAACCTGGAATTCAATATTATATGCTCATTTTCCATTGACCACTGAAGACTTCAGCTTTAAATAGCATGAACTGACAGCATTTAAGCACTACAGCTTCTCATTTTCCAGCCTGTGCTAACCATTTGTGGTGCAGATGAACAGAATCACAGCAGGAGCGACTGAGTCAACAAGGAAACAATTACACAGCTCAGAACTGTTTGGGATACCACAGGATGACATATTCCACCCAACATAATCAAAAGCAAAGTATCTTTTACACAGAATATCTGGTAAAGCCATCACATCTTGTTTCCAAGGTTTTTGTTCAGATTTTCATGTACAGATTTTTGTTTGGAAAAGCCCAGCAAACCACCCTAGTACAGCTTTGAAATAACTGTTCTTGAAAAATCACAGAATCATCAGGGCTGGAAGAGATCTCTGGTTATCATTTAGTCCAACCCCCCAGCCAAGGCAGGGCCACCCAGAGCAGGTTACACAGGAGGAACACGTCCAGGCGGGGTTTGAATGTCTCCAGAGGAGGAGACTCCACAACCTCCCTGGGCAGCCTGTGCCAGTGCTCTGCCACCCCAAAGTAAAGAAGTAAAGGTGCAACTCCTTATGTTGGCCATTGCTCTTCGTCCTATTGCTGGGCACCACTGAAAAGAGTCTGAAAAATAAAGTCTCCTTACAACTATACAGCTTTAAGTCTCCTTTAAATGCTACAATTCTATTGACATATATCTGCATGTTATTTATTAATGCAACAAACTGAAATCTCTGTTTCTACGGAAATTCTTAGACAAACTGCAGTAAAATTAGGCACCCATTTCATAAGAAAGACAACAGAAAGGCTCATTAGATAGATCTGCAAAGCTGCTTTGGTAAGATGGAAACAAGCAGTTTCTTACAGTATTTCAACCATACTATTTTAACAGATTATTTAGGACCCCTAGCAGAGGGATTTTCTTGGTTTAACTTGCTAATTTTGATTTTCTTTTCAAAACTGTATGCTCATAGCACAGTAACTTCGAAACTGTTTCCACATGACTGAACAGAATCATGTATTCTCAAGTATGGGAATCGTTAATTTTGGCCCAAAAAATAGTCATGAAGTGTAGGCTATTACTCTCTCTCTCTAAACAGAACTAATTCTCACTCTGAGAGGGAATTGACTTCAGCATATTCCAAGACAGCGGTGAATTTTTGTTAAAGTAACCATGTGAAGGTTTTTTTGTCTGCTCGAAGTTTCTGAAGCAAAGTACTTTTTAAGAAAATGACAGCTCAGCAAAAGGTTGATCAGGCCCAGAGCACTGCTGCAAATACATCCACAGCCATACTCCAAGTCCACATACTTAATTACCACAGCTGCAAATGTTTTGGAGCAGCACTAATCGGCCCCTTTACAGTATTCGTACAGTATGTAAGGCTTATCATGATAAGTAAATTCAAATAAAACTTAACTGTATATGTAACTCAGGGAATGTAATGAGGGAACTGTTCATCCACTTGGTTCATCTTAATGTTGTACTGAATTCAGTACATTAGCAGATTTTTAACGCATTACACAATACTTTACAATCACAAAATGGAGAGCTATGTGGAAATCCTTCATAATGATGTAACCTGTATCTTTCAAGTGCTTCTTAATTTTTTTTTCCTTCTTTTTAAATAGAAGTCACGTAATGTAGAAGTATCAAAGTAGTTTGAAAAGAGTACTGTCAAAGTTCACCTTACTAACCAAGTTAACACCACACAATAACATAGAATCAAACCGTTACTACTATGCAGTATTATATACAAAATCATAGAATCATAGAATGGTTTGGGTTGGAAAGGACCTTAAGATCATCTAGTTCCAACCCCCCTGCCATGGGCAAAGACACCTCACACTAGACCGTGTCACCCAAGGCTCTGTCCAACCTGGCCTTGAACACTGCCAGGGATGGAGCATTTACCACTTCCTTGGGTGACCTGTTCCAGGACTTCACCACCCTCACAGTAAAGAACTTCTCCTTATATCCAACCTGAAGCTCCCCTGTTTCAGCTTAAATCCATTACCTTTAGTCCTATCGCTACAGTCCCTGATGAAGAGTCCCCCTCCAGCATCCTTGTAGGCCCCCTTCAGATAATCTACTGTGTTCTGCATGTGTTTTGTAGCCTGGCTACAGCAACATCGAGCATATATTGCTAAAAATTAAGAGAAACCTGCAGAAGCAATTTACAGGTCAGTTGGAACACATTCTGTCTCTTTCAAAATATTGAGACTTAACATTAGCAGCATATGTTTCTTACATCAGATTTTTCATAAGATTCAAAGGCATTTTAGTTATTTAACGGCTGAATTTTGTAGTAATAAAATTAATGTAAGTAAAAGGATTACAGCATGTTTGGTAACAGCAAATAGTCTACAGTGAGCCCAGAATACACTCTTAATACTACAACTATTATTTACCATATTGATTTTATATAGCTTCAGTTTCTCACATAACCTTTTTTAAAAAAACAACTTGTAAATTTGTGGTAAGCAGAAATTTGATTTTCCCTACCAAGCACAATCTACAAAGCCAATAATCTTCTCAAACTAAGATGCTGTATTTTCTCAAACTTACTTAGTTTCCCCCTGCAGACCTCTTAAGAACTTTCCTTGCCTTGTCATGTCATTAACTGCAGCCTGGCCCAGCACTGGGCTCTTAATTCTGCAGGGAACCAGTGAGGTAAATCGAAACCAAAAGGACATTAGTTTCACTTTGGCTAACCAGAATTCTGAGAGCAATGACAAATGGTTCAGAAATCATATTCCTTTCTCAATTCCACAATCTTTAAATCTCCCAACTCTTACATCTGCAGCACTCATATCCTTGTGTTTTCATTATATCGGAGTCACTAACCCACTCTCCAAATATAGACAGAGACATAAAGTGGCATTTGAATATATTTTATCTGGAACAGCACCAAACTGTTCATCAGCAAAACTGACCAGAATTATGGATTTAAAAAAAAAAAAAGTATGAAATAAACTGTGGAAATCGGAACATACCATTTTAAAACTACTTCAAAGCAGGGAATTAATGCCTGAAACAGACAACTCAGCTTAAGTCAAAACCTCTAAGGTTTGTGAAAGAGCAATACAATCCTCACAAGCAGCTTTTTCTTCCTTATAACACTTAAAGGCTTAAACTCTGAATTGAATTTCTGCAATAGATCTCCCAGAAAGGAAAAATCCCTAAGCCACAAGAAGAATCTGTTCTAATTTAGTACATGATTGCTTCAGAAAGGTAGCAATCGTAACTGCTGAAGGGGATAAATATTTCCTATGTGAAAATATGAACAACTCATAATATGCACCTAAAATACGATGAAGAAAGACTGCTTATTGTAAATGTAATATTGTGGGGGAAAAAAATAAAAATCTTGAGTTTGGTCAGATACTTTAAACTAAACACATATAGAAAAAAACCCAAAGAAACATTATTGACAATTTACAAGGACTTTTTACAAGTTACAGGACAAGGGGGAATGGCTTTAAGCTGAAAGAAGGGAGATTTAGATTAGATATTAGGAAAAAAATTCTTCCCTGTGAGGGTGCTGAGGGGCTGGCACAGGGTGCCCAGAGAAGCTGTGGCTGCCCCATCCCTGGCAGTGTTCAAGGCCAGGTTGGACACAGGGGCTTGGAGCAACCTGCTCTAGTGGAAGGTGTCCCTGCCCGTGGCAGGGGGTTGGAACTGGATGAGCTTTAAGATCCCTTCCAACCCAAAATGTTTTATGATTTTATGACTGTAAGAAAGCAAAGGTTGTGACACAAATAAAGGCAAAAAGCAGAATTTTCTTAGAAGACTGTAGAGTGTATGTTGCTTTTTTAAACTTCATCTGTTAAAATCAAGCCATTCCTATGCACTGTAAGCACAAGGAATATTTTGAAACATAAAAATAAAGTTGTCCAATGTGCATGCCCCAGAATAGGCAGATGAATTCTGAGCTGCTGCTCCAACTTCATGCTCTAAATTTCTGAGAAACAACTAACAGGAAATCAGAATCAATACAAGAATGCTGGAGCATCCAGCAAAAGTTCACTGAGAAGAAGAATGACAAATAAGACCAGACTGTAACAGAATTTGTTTTCTTTTTGAACTAACATAGATTCCATCCCACTTACGTAGCTTAAAAGTAAGTGCTATTCAACTTAATCTGTAGAGAAGTATAAAATACTGCAGCCATGAATACTGCAGGCCAGTGTTTGATGACTTTAAGCCAAACATATGGGTATTTGAATAAGCAGATATATTCTTTTCTTACTTCCTTTGTATTTAATACAGGCATTGTCCCCGAAGGCATGTACTGGAATTCCAAATTCCCTAACTTCCAGGCTTTTATTTTACTTTGTTACCATTTATTTTTGCTTTCCAACTCCATTTCCTGCAGGCACAAAAATCTCAAGGGATTTGAGAAGAATCAAAGAACTAACTGCAAAGTGTGGAATAATCCACTATACTTCAGTTTTCAAGATTTGAGTACCTTAGAACCAGTGTTTGCAAACAAGTTATACTCAGGGCAGTGAGGGACCAGCTTCTTCAGCCAAGAGCATGACTCTTCCAAACTTGGGGCATCTGATCTGGGCCAGCATATAGTGCTGCACATGTCAGTGAGTCACAGCAGGAGCCTGCTCGTGTGTTTCATGTATCAGCATGTACCAGTTTGGATATTCTACACACCTGAACAGCCATCCACAGTTTTAAAGCTATGCAGAGAAGCAGCCACAGATGTGCAAGCACCTTTGAAGCACCACAGGTTGCAAGAGAACGAAGACATAATGTATAGAACAAGATCTCTCATTGGGATCCTGCTCACCAATCACATACCCCACTTTGCAGTTCCACACCTTCATTTCATCTCATCATGCTCCTGAATTTCAACATCTCCTGGAAATGCAGGCTGAATAGTGGTCCCCCCACCAGCCTCCCCCTGGTTTTATTACTGAGACAATATAGTCACATAGTGTCACTATATGGTGTGGAACATCCCTTGGGTCAGTTGGGGTCAGGTGTCCTGGCTGTGTCCCCTCCCAACATCTTGTGCACCACCAGCCTCCTCACTGGTGTGAGGAGCAGAAAAGGCCTTGGCTCTGTGGAAGCACGGCTGAGCAGTAACTAAACCATCAGTGTGCTATCAGCACGATTTTCAGTACAAATCCAAAACATCAGCCCATACAAGCTACTATGAAGAAACTGAACTCCATCACAGGCAAAACCAGTAAAGATATCCATGCTGCAACTCAAGGAATAATCAGTGGGCAGAGACTGAACAAGAATAAGGAGCTACTCCACTGACATCCTCACTGAGCAAAGGTTTACCACGCACACATACAAAAATGGTTGTTATACTAGGCACGTCCACTTTACGTTTATCCTTTGTCAGTATTCCTGCTACTTATTAAGCAAAACCAAAATTAGATTGAGAACGTATATCCTTCATATTCAGAATAATGGAAAGAGAATAAATCTAAAATTCTTTGAGAATTTTTTTGTATTTTCATAAATTCGGTATGGAAAGCACAGCCATCTACCAAAGAAGCACAACAGAAGAAACTATTTTTAAATTAATAACCATCAGTAAGAAACTAAGAGCACATCTGATTAAAAGCTTGCAGCACACAAACAGTTCAGAGATAAAGAGGCACCTGCAAAATTGTGTTAACTTCAGAGAATTATGTTTCATGACCATTCTGACTTCTCAAACATACAAACCATATTTTATATTCATACTTAAAGAGTCTTCAGTTAAATATAAAAATTATATCCACAACTAGACACTAAAAGCCCTCTTGAAATTGTGTGGTGGAAATTAATTTATAAAGCTGATTTTGCTGCTAGAAAAATTCTGTTCTATCAAGAAGTATTACGAATGACTTCCAATGAACATTCATTTCTGAAGCAACTGTAATACTTTCTTTTTAAAAAGAATTACATCAAAAATACCTGAAATTGCTTGAAATTTCATATGCAATACTAAAGAATTAGGTCTCATTTTTAAAGTATATTCACAACCCCTTGAAAAAATTGGTTTTCCAAAACAGTTATTTAGTGCTCCAGCCACATTACAGACTACATTTACTGTAACTCCAGAAGAAAACCTGTAATTTAAGTGTAGTTTGTGAAGGTAAGGTGGAGAAGGGATGAAAAAAGAAAGAAATCAAATACTAGAAGAGACTCAACTAAAGGAAACTACTACCCAATCAATTTCAAGAAGAGTTTGGCTTTTACAAAGAAATCAACATAACCAATGTCATGAATCAATAAAGAATTAATTCAATCATGCTTTGCTAATGTGAAACAACTGCTCCAAACTACTTACCCTTTATTAACTGCTCATAGAATTGAGGCTCAATGGCACCAACAGCCATGAATTTTCCATCGGAGGTCTTGTAGGTTTCATAAAAAGGTGCACCACTATCTAGCATGTTCTCACCTCGAGGTCTGTTCCAAAGTCCCAAGTTCTGTGATTTCCACAGGAAAGAACTTAGGTATGCTACGCCTTCTACCTTGAAGATTCAAAGGAAAAAGTAACAGCTTCAGTAAATTAGTTGTCATGTTACCTTAATTCTACATAAAACAAAACAGCAAAAAACCTACTGCCAGTTTTGTCCTTTCTTAAGATTTTCAATGACAAGATCTCTTGTAAGCAGTTTAATTTCTTAAAATTCTCAATTACTCTTTATATTGCATATGTGAAATCATCTAGAATTAGAGAGTAAGAAGAAGTAATGCAGCTTCAGATGGATAACATGCTTTCAATGTACAAAGTTTGTTAGCTTAGCAAATTTTCAAACATTAGTAATTCAAGGAGAACTACACAAAGAGAATGTACGTAATTTTAGGTGGTGGAACAAGCTTTTTGGTGCTACAGAACATTAAGCAATCTGACAGCCATCAAGCCTTCTAAATCTCTGGAAATTAAGATGCCTATACCAGTCCTTTAAGTATAAAATTTTTATCTCAACATTAACTTCTTTGAAGTTACAGATTATAAAGAGACCACTATTTTTAGAAGAAAACTGGAAGGAAATCAAAGGTTATGGCTCTCTTGTACCACGGGAACTGGGAAGCTCATCTCCATCACTAAGTTAAAACAAAAATTATTCTCCCACTCTCATTGCTGGCATGTACACAGACATAAGGTTATCTCTAAGTAGGTAAGTGTTTGATGTATACAGCACTAGAAGACTCTTTAAAATCTTGACTATGTGGAGTACAACCAAATGTAAACTTACTTTGTTCAGCCTTTCAACAATTCTCAGGCCTGTAGCAGTCTTTCCAAGCAAAATCACATCCTACAGTTCTACTCACCAGCAGCATTCATTTTTTTTTACAACTGCATTAGAAAAACTGTGAGAGAAGGTGAGGCAGTAACAGCATACAGCCAGAAACATTGCAGTGGAACAGAGGAAAACATGAGCTGTATTGTTTTAAGTATCACTTTGATTCCCACATTTTCAGTTGTGTAAAACTAACTTAATATTGTCCATAGAGAAAATCACAGAGATTGGACCAAAATAAAAAGCTACTGCATTTTCATGTGGAAAGGTCTATTAGTTTCTACCTTTCTAAGCAAAAATTTAAAGCATGTAAATCTTTGAAGGATGCCTGAATGAAGGCTTCTTCATTTAATATATATTACTTGGTGTCTTTCCAAAGTACCTGCCACGACAGGAATACTTTTGCCTTACTTGTCATATGTTAAAGTCAATTAAAATACTTCTGTATGAGAAAATACCATATACCTTCACCTATATGTTCGAAAACAACTGCAAGGATATCAAAACAAGCTTTACTAATGATCTGATCTTGCATTGCTCATATTAACAAAAAAAAAACAAACCTGAAGTAAGGTTTTACTTTATAATAATAGGAGGAAATAACATCAGAATAAGCTGTAACTGCAAATTAGATTTTGGTTCTGACCAAATAATAGTTGGGGATAATATCAGAATAAGCTCTAACTGCAAATTAGATTTTGGTTCTGACAGAACTACTTCATACATACAATGCTACTTGCCCTGGAAACACTTAGAAGTAAAATAGCACATGTGGTTTGGACTATTATAGGGATTACAGAAATATTCCTGGTTGGACAACTGGACAGATGGGTTCCACCTGAGGCCCACTGCAATTCAGAGGCAAGTATAAAGGTGTCTTAACATCAGCACCAAACCTCCAAGGGCGCACCACACATACGCATTAATGTGGTCACTTTCTTTTAAAAAATGAAAAGGACAACATGGGGAGACTCCACTTGAGCCAAACGGCAGAGTGATTACAGAAGCAGTTATGGGCTTCACCTAATAGTTCCCTCATGCTAAAAGCAGTCTCTGAAGCAGGGACAAGAATGCAGAGGCATCACCACACTGGGTGACCTGTCTGCTCTGCACATCTTCTGTTCCTTCTTCAGAGTGAAAGAGTTCAAACAAAATTGAGAATGAATTCGTATCAACCTCATCTTTATCCTCATGACAGACGAATGCCTCTAGGGTGTAGAAGCTCTGGGTTTGAGTATCTCCAGGCTGAGAAAAACCTGGAATCCCAGACCTCGATTGAACAGCTAAATGTTCTTGCCATGGGGCTATTGCACAAGCTGTTACCACCACCATCTCCTGCAGCTATCTTTTCACAAAGGGTGAGTCACACTTAATCAGATGCTTACCATTGGCAGAAGACACTGTGTCTGAGTATGGAGTGAACCTGAAGTGTGGCCCTGACTCACATGCCTCTATTTCAGTGTGATGCAGCAGTGCAGACGTACAATTGTGCCTACTGTATCACATCGCAGTGTCCACCCCACGCCCTACTCTGCACATGGGAACTATGAGGCCCACTCTAAGAAACCTGTGATACCTCTAAAGTCAGTGAGAAGAGTCAGCAACTAACATGAACCGATTCAGACCAGGCATTTCATTCTGAGACAAAACAGCTGAAACACAGGATCCAGCATCTACTTTTTGCACAGGGCAACAATAACATTGGACACTGCAAATAAGTGATGCAATTTTAGCCCTTGGCCTGGTCCTCTCTACCCAATTTTTGTACCAGTCTAGTTTCACCAGGTAGAGAACTTCCTTGTGTGTATTTTACTGATCATAAGAATGCTCCCAAGCCATTTTTCAGCTTTCAGCACAGTAATTAGAAATAAAAGATAAATAACCAATTGTTCTATCACAAAAAATCAGATCTCAATCTAAAACTACTAACCTCAAAGACAATAAATAATTAGTTTTTTAGATTACTTCAGAAAAATAGACATTATAGTAAGTAGGAAAAAAAACCAAAAAAGTGGTCAGTAAAACAATCCATGAAGATGAAAATTTAATAAAAGTAACCCTGAAGACACAAAGCTGCTAAAACAGAAATTCAGCTTCCCTATTCTACCATAGAAAATTCCACCATGTGTCAGAGTCATTATGTATTCAGGCTACCCAAACTGTGCAACAACTTATGTAATAGGCTTTTTAAGTAAAAAGAATGTTAAAATGAAATGACAGCTGAAATGATGCTGTGTTCTGCTTTTGAAAATATCTACTTCCATGAAAGAAACTTAAGATATAACAACAGGCTCATCAACCCAGTCTATTTAACTGTCTTTGCTGATGATGATGCATGTATGGTTTTCATTAACTGCTCACTGGAAGTCTTTTCAAGTGAAAGGAATGTAACAAAATGCCAGCTAAAGTACATTCCGTGAGAGTGGACAATATTCCTTCCATTTCACAGGACACCAGAAACATCAGCAGAGAACTCTAAATTCCACATCTACGAGACAAGAAAAAATTGAAGAAGTGACGTTTTGAGGGCTTAAAAGCCCCCCACAAAAAAGCCACTACACATTACACTCCCAGTGAGCCACAGATCTCATTAGTACATTAGCAGACTTATATTGATTCTTCTTGTAACAAATTCTTCTAATGATTTGAAGTACCAATAGTGAAAATAAGGTGATACTCCAAAAAGTATCTTTTTAAATATTTGAATACTTGTCACAATTCTCCACAGCTTTCACTTCACAAATATGCAAACTCCTTCAATTTTCCTTTGTAGGTCATGTTTTTAGACTCAGGTCACTTTTGTTGCATTTCTCAGACTTCCTAAAATTGACCTTAGAAATGTTGAATGGAAACTTTGCTGGCTTTGCTTCCTGTTTATACATCCCAATACAGGGTGTATGTGTCTTACAACAGCGTGATATTGTTCACTCATGTTCAGCTTGTGACTACTACAAACCCTCAGGATTGTACTTTAGCCCATTGTTCTCATATAGCATTTGTGCAGCTAGTTGTTTCTGCCTACGAGAACTACAGAGCAGTGGTCTCCATGAATTTCAGCCAATTTTCTTCAGGTCATTTCTCAAAGTTGACAAGGTCATTTGCAGTTCTAATCCAAGTGTCCAACATTCCTGTAGTTCTTCCCACATGCCTATCATTTGTAAATCTACTAAACACAACCACTCATCCGTTATTCAGCTTATTGGAGAGAACACTAAAAACAGATGTTTGCAGAATTCAACTTGGTAAGATTTTTGTTTTGACAATCAATTACTAGTAACTATTGTCAAGGTAAAAACATTAGACCCGTTTTGCACTGAACCCATAGGATTTTTATGTAGATCATAATGCTGTGGCCTGCTTCTGAGAATGCCATGAATTTGCCAAAAACTTTTTCAAGTAAGCTCTCTTGCTATTCTCTTCAAGACTTCTTCAACAAAGCTATTCTGTTCAAATAATGTATTACTTTTAAATTTATATTTTAGTCTAAATCATAGCCTTCACTCTACCCTAACACATTGGAGGGAGGTCGAATTTTAATTGCAATGCTCTTTAAAAAGAAAACCAGAGAGAGACAGAGAGAAAAGGTGCCTGCAGATAATGAAGGTTTCAAGGATAAATATAAATGTGAATTTTTCTTCTTTGTGTAAGTGAGTGGCCTTGTAGTGCAAAACCCCATGGTATTCATTATTAAGTTAATTTAGCCTTTCATTCATTATATTGCACATTAACACGAAGTGTTTGAAATTGACTTCTTGGCAATAATCCATAGCAGTGCAACTATTTCAAGGAACAGTGGCTACAGTAAGACATGACCTGTCACAAATTTATAACCAGATGTACCTTGGATAAAGCTAATGTAATTCTTTATTAGGTTTGTCATTTTTGCTATTAGGCATGATATTAATCATAGAATTCCAGAATGGCTTGGGTAGGAATAGAACTTAAAGATCACCTAGTTCCAACCCCCTGCCATGGGCAGGGACAACTTCCACTAAACCAAGCTGCTTGTAGCCCTGTCCAACCTGGCCTTGAACACTGCCAGGGATGGGACAGACACAGCTTCTCCGGGCAACCTGTTCCAGTGTCTCAGAACCCTCACAGTAAACAACGTCTTCCTAATGTCAAAATCTCCTCTCATTTTATAGCCATTCCCCATTGTCCTATCCCTACATGCCCTTGTAAAAAGTCCCTCTCCAGCTTTCTTGTGGGCCTATTTCCATACACCAAACTTACTCACCAAATATACACAGCTAATATTTTGTGAAGAAGGCAGATTGGAAAAAAAGATAGGGAATGGCACAGGGGGAGAGCTGCAGCATGTGTCCCATATCATAAGGATGTTATGGCAACAATGATATGCAAAAACTGCTTGCACATGAAGGAATAGCCATTTTATAGGACTGCTTTCTTTCCCTTTCCCAAGTTCTCAATTTTAAACCTTATAAAGTTTAACCTTAAAAGCTCAGAATTCCTCCCTTTTACAGACTTAAGAGTAGGAAACATGCAAACAAGCAAACCAAAGAAACTTTACTTTCCTTGGGACTGAACTTACCATACTTGCATCAATGATCTGCCCCTTGCCAGATTTGATACGTTCATAGAGAGCTGTGATAATGCCCAGTGCACATATGACACCTCCCCCAGCAAAATCAGCTAGGAGATTTAAGGGTGCATACGGATTTTCATCTTTTCTACCCATCTTTGACAGCACACCTGACAATAGAGCAAAAAAAGGAAGGCTAAGTATAAAATTTATTAGAAACATTCACTTCTACATTTCTACAATCTAAGTTTCATTCTTTTTCATCTGTGCAAGTAAGCAAGGGATATAGCAAACTTCTAACAACAGTTTTCTGTCTCTCCTCAGCTGTTTCTTAGCAAATAGTTAATCTTTAATTTGCAAAATATTTAATATATTCAGATTAGTGAAGATGCATTTAATTAGAGATTTTAATAAAACTCTCAGAAATAAACCATTGATAATTTAGTTATATAGGGACAAAATTTCATCCAAAACACCTGGTGTGCAATAAATCTGTATTAGTACTTTGTACCTACATAGAACCTCCCCTGTAAGAACTCAACAGGCATTATGAACATGTCTCAAAGCAATTTTGGTAAATTGTACTTCTGTTAATCTTATAAGTAAAGAATGTAGATGTAACATCTTCTGTGAACATAACCCATCACAACAAAGGATTTCACACCAACAACTACACTTCAGTCCTATTCTCTCTCTTCATCTACTTTTGGAAAAAAAAGGTTGTGTATAGGAGGAATAGGGGAATAACACAGAAAGATTACCTCTTACTATATGCAACACAGGCACAGGGAACCTATGTTTATGCAGAAATGAATGGAGCTTTTAATCTGGTAGAATTTCTCTGCCATCCTGAACCACGTCTTTACTGTGACCTTACTTTCTGTAGCTCCCTCATAGTGATTCCCTTTTGGCCAGCAAGAACCTCTGCAGTATAACCATACCCCTCTTGTGCCTGTAGCCTAAAGTCTGAGACTTGCAGCATACATGGTCAAAGTTTCCTGAGAACTGCATGACCTGATGCACTGCTTAGTTAGCTAATGGTCTGATGAACACAAGTGCAAGCAACTGAGTGCACAATATAAATAAGTTTCCAAAGCCTGCAGCACAAACATAAAACCCACTCACTGACTAAAACCTCACTTTTAATGGTCTAAAGGTCATAACAGGCGCCAGCAGATTAATGCATTAACTTACAGCTGGAGTTTCTAATGCAAGCCATTTTTTTAGTTAAAGAAATCCAAAGCTCATGTGGAAAATACTCAGGATAAAGTTCTCTTTTTTGAGGAATGTTACATGCTAAACACCTTGTTCTATTTCCTTTAAAAAGGCAGAAAAAAATGACCTGTGAAATTTCAATCAAAATTATTTAATTTTAGGAAGATAGCACTAACCAAAGTACTGATTAAATCATCTCCAGAGGGGAAAAAAACAAACCCCAAAACCCAAAACCAAACCAAAACCCCAAACAACAAAACCATGTTTCTCTTTGTAAACAGAAAATGCTACAATTTAAGGTAACAACGTACTATACCGTTTCTGTACTGATTCCCTACGCTAGTAACAAAGAAAAATACAACACTTTGAAACCATCTGGACATGAAGTCAAAAGTGTTTCAAATGAGGCAACCTTCCTTTACTCTTTTTTATTTTTCTGACAATCCTAAATAATGACAAGACTGAGGCCATTGCTAAAACAAATGTAATTCCACTGACTCTATAGTAGGGGATACTGACTCACCACATCTGCAGTGCTTCTACTCTGGCCCCTGTATGTGACTAAAAGAAATGCTGTACCTAGTGGAAAGCCAAGAAGTTTTGGGTCACTTTCTCTCCTCCTTCACAGGCAGCGAGAAGCGGCAGAGACAGAGCAGTGTGAACAGCAGTCAGCAGGACTATGCACGACACACTGACTGCTATCACCTTAGTCAGGTAACTTTGTTATTGTTTGTTACTGCATACTTGGAGGATCATGACACTTAAAAACAACACACTGTCTCCAGTTTAAGGAAACACAGAATTGCCACTTTATATTATGCCTACTTTCCTCTCACTTGGTATCAGTGGAGGGATATTTACAGCAGGCAAGCACAAGAGCTCAAATGGCTGAGGCTGCCTAGTTTTTCTTTGCTCAAGAAAAAGCTGCTCACAAACATGCAGAATAATCTGCAGCCTTTGGGGGATTATAAACAAACAGATTTTCTAGGAGAGAGGCCCTGAACAAAGACCAAAAAGCATAAAAACTTCAGTCCTCTCTTCAAAGAGAAAAACTTTATTCAGCTAAAACAGCACAAAGGAAGGAAAATGCCATATAGCCTGAGAAGACATGCTCACCCAGCCTAACAGCTCACTATGGCTGCCAAAACTAACAGCCCTTCCAGGCCATGTTTGCTCCTTTCTTGTGCCTATTTTTCATGTCTGCTGAATCCCTTAATGAACTGTTTTACCTCAATATCCTGGCAGAAAAACATCCTCATTTCTCCTAGCCAGTTTGTAATGTGTGAGGGAGCTCACAGAGGGATTAAGCAAGCACCATAGCTGACTGGGGAGGAAGGAGCAGGGAGAAGAATACAAAGAAAGAAACTCTCCTTTCACTGACAGACACTGCTCAGCTGTTTTATCAGATTACACATTAGGTAATTTGAACTATCTGCAAACAGCCTTTCGATAAATTCTTGAGTCTTGATTTAGGGCGGTGGGGAGGAACTTATTTGTCAGGAAATTTTACAGCCTACCTGATAAAGCCAAATAATTGATGTCATGACCTGCTGATCTGGCATATTTTCCTGTCTGGCCAAATCCAGTAAGTCTAGCATAGATGAGTCTGGGATTGCCCTGCAGAAGAATGTCTGGACCAAGCCCAAGTTTTTCCATCACACCTTAAAAAGACAAAGGGAGAGAATCCTAACTCACATTTATTTTTCATAAGACTCGAAAGGTACATGGTTCAAAGTTACATCATACAATAACAAAATTGAACTGCAATTTATAAACTAATACATTGTAATTCAGTAGCCATATTAGAGCACAAACATTCAGAATGTTATAAATTACCAGCATATATATATACACACGCATTTTTAATACAAGCCAAGCAAGCAAAAATGAAGCTTTAAGGTCTTTTTTTTTTTTTCTTTAGGGTCCTTTCTTCTTTTCAGCTTCTTTTCCTATTCTAATTCTCCAAAAGATTGCCAGGCAGCTTGTTGTAATCCATGTACTGCTGAATGAGAGAGAAAGCTACCAAAGGCTTTTTTTTTTACAAAGAAAAGAGAGAGAAAGAGAGAAAAGAGCAAACTCTTATATTTTCCACAGTAAAATGACCTGAAATTACTTTCATTTTTCACTGGAATATGCTTTCCTCACCATATTAGCCTCTCAGTACCCTGTGTGATCCTGCATCGTTCAACTCACAGATGCGGATGGACAATGCTACTATTCCACAAAAATTATTTGCAACAACTGCACAAAAGAAAACATGTTCTTTTGTAACACAGAGAATAAGGAACTTTCAGAAACCAACGAAATGTAGTTTTGGTCAGCATGGATTTACAGTTAATCAAGGCTAAAATTTTGATCTTGCAGCCTGTAATAGGGGTTTTATAAGAAGTAAATTCAAATTGTAAATAGCAGCTTGGACAGACTATGCTCTATAATCTATACTGGCACTGCAGGGAGACACATTGTGGAGGGGGACAGCATAATGTCAATGCCTGTTCCACTCCAGTATTTACTACTGCAACTTGTTTCACAGACTAGTCCATAATATTGCTAAATATTTAAATTCCTTAAGATCTATTTCTATTGTAATTCTTACTGGGCAGAGGCAAGTGATTAATGCCAGGGAGAAAGCTGTGAAATTTAGCAAAGAGCAAGATTTTCAGACCACAGGTGAGAACTGACTATCAAACACCCCCTTGCGTTAGCAAGCCATTGTCTGAAGGTCAGTGATAGATCTGTGTTTAAAAAGACTCCCCTGTCACTTGGGCCTTCTCGTTGGTTCACACTAGCTTCACGCTTGACCACAGTTTTGCCTGGCTCAGTTACAGGCCCATAAAGCCTAATGTCCACTTACAGAATTACCTGCAATTCCAGATTATAAAACAAAACTAAAACAAAACCCCAAATGCCTACGTAACCAAAGAAAACAGAAATTTCCAATAGAAACTAGGCAATTAGCTACAACGAAAAATGGAATTTAATGTCTTAATTTTGGTTGCACTGCTTCTTACGAACAAAACAAAAAATTTGTAAGGTAAAAAACATCACAACCATAAACCCCTGTTTTCAGAATGAAAAGCATTATCCATGACATATGCCCCTTTATAATGTGTGATGTTTAACTGATACAGCCTTCTATTTCTCAACTGACTTCAGAAACCCTAAAAACACTTCAGTCAGCTCCTCACTGAAGCATGATGACAGAATCACAGGATGGTCTGGGTTGGAAGGGACCTTTAAAGGTCATTTAGTCCAACCCCCCTGACATAAGCAAGGACATCTTCAATGAGATCTGGTTGCTCAGACCCTGTCCAGCCTGACTTTGATGATACTCTTCATAACAGAACAGCATCTTCAAGGAGCAGCACGGATACTGCAATACGCCATGCATGAGCGTAAGATGAGTGCCTGTGTATAGCTTATAAAGGAAGAAAGCATGTTAGATCTGTTGTCTTCAGAGGAATGGAGAAGAGATGGCTCAAGGGGGACATTATTTATTGCTCTCTACAGCTACCTGAAAGGAGGCTGTAGTGAGGTGGGGGTCGGTGTCTTCTCCCCAGTAGCAAGCAATTGGACAAGAGGACACTGCCTTAAGCTGCACCGGGGGAGGTTTCGATTGGCTATTAGGAACAATTTCTTCACAGAGAGGGTGCTCAGGCATTGGAACAGGCTGCCCAGGGCAGTGCTGGAGTCACCGTCCCTGAAGTGTCCAAAAACCATGTACATGAGGCCCTCAGTGATACAGTTTAGTGATGGACTTGGCAGTGCCAGGGTAGCGGTTGGGCTTGATGATCTGAAAGGTCTTTTCCTACCTAGCTGATTTATGATTCTTTGAATCATACGCTCTGAGAGTTGGACCGCTATCTGGCACACCTTACACACAAGCTACCCTTACAAATCTAAGTTATATCAGCAGGCCTAAACATCACTGCAGGGCCGATGCCCATGCTCTGTGCACGGCTCCTCAGCTCAGCTATCCCCTTGTGCCGTCCAGAACTATTTGTTCAGCGTGTCTGGCCGTGGGGCAACTATTTGTTCAGCCAGCTGGCTGAGCAACTTCCACGGCTTCTTCCCTGGGACGCCGCAGGGCTGCTGCACTCCGCAAACCCCGGTACGTCCCGCAGCGTTTCTCACCCCAAATAACCCCCCAAAAGCTGCTCCCTTCTGAGGCCCTTCAGCACCGCATCCCATGGCTCCCTCAAGGCCACGCACCCGACCTCCCCCTCCGGGCC